TGAGCCCAAAAGATCACCCTTATTTACCTTTACATTCCCTATTTATGGCAAAATGCATGCTACGTGGTAGATCTCCAAAATACGATGTCAACAAGCTGAACTGAAAAATTAGCAAAATGCATCTACTCATTTGCAGAGCTTCAAGCAAGTGAATTCTAGGCCAGCACTTCACAGACTTCGATGTGCCCAGGAATCACCTGGAGATGTTGTTTAAAATGTAGATTCTGATCCAATTGTCTCAGGGCCAAACCCAGGAATTCTGCATTTCCAACAAGCTCCCAGGTTATGCTGATGATGCTGGTTTGTGGGCCATCAGCTATACTTATAGCACTTTGGATTGTGGTCCTCCAACACCATGAAACACAGGGCACTTGTAGATCAATTTATATCATACTAGGAACAGCTGTTTTACTTTGCAGGTGTGCTAGTAACTAAAAGAATTTATGGGGGGGAGAGGGATAAATTAGGAGTTTGGGATTAACATACACACACTACTATATATATAAAATAGATAAACAACAAAGACCTACAGTATAGCATGAGGAACTTTACTCAATATTTTGTAATAACCTATATGGGAAAATAATCTGAAAAAGAATATATATATATATATATATATATATATATATATATAACTGAATCACCTTGCTGTACACCTAAAACTAACACAACATTGTAAATCAACTATACTTCAATTTGAAAAAAGATGACTTACACTGTTTACTCATCTATTCTTATAATATCCATGAGCCTGGAGTCTTAGATACACTACTGTAAGAGATTGCAAACAGTCATCTTGTGAGCCAGGCCCCCACACAGCTGTCGTACTCATCACAGGAGGCGAGAGCTTCCTTCTCAGCAGCATTTGTGTAGAGGACAGCTTCTAGCCCTTATTAGACTTTTTCTCAACACAGAATTCAAATTCAGTTTGGGAAGTAGAAGCCAGGGAAAAGAGAGGGAGGCCAGTAGGAAATTAGCCAGGCTCAGCAAGACAGCTTATTCATTCATCCCTTCCTGCACAAAGAAAAATAGTTATGGAGCACATATTAAGATCCTAGCATATGAGGGGAGAGGTGCAAGCATGGTCAAGGTGGATGACGTGGGGCTGGAGGAGAAATTTAAAAGGAAATCCCAGAGTTCTGGGTCAGAGATGGAAAGAGGTTCCAATTGAGGGAGTCCCACAGGGGCTGCACAAATTTTCAACTATGACTATTCAAATTCTCAACCCCACTGCTCACGCTCAGATAAGAGTTAGGAATCAGATTTAAAATATCATATGAAGTTTTCCAGAAATATCACAGGATTCTTAGTCATCTGTAATTCTGACTAGCTATTCAGCAATGCATGATCCATGACATGGAAGTCTGCGGTGGCTCAGCTAGAGGTCTTTTCTGCACAGAACCCCTGCGAAAATGTGGGCTTAATGCATGTGCCATGGCTCCTTTCCGAGGACATGTAATTTTGCTTATAGAACACTCCAAATTCAAATAGGTTGGCTACTGGGGAGTGGTTCAAACTAAACTTTTAAAGAGGCTTGCTGGGTTTTTTTTTAAGCTTTAAAAAAAACTCTTTTCAGCAATTCACTACACTTGCTGTGGCTTCAGCTGCCACTAGTCCCCAGATTTCTAATCCAGCCATACTGGCTCCCTTACAAACTCTGTTCACATACCCCCAGTTTCCCCACTCACTTCAGTGCACAAACACACACACTTTTGTTTTGTTTTGGCTTTTATTTCCTTGTCATTGTTCATGCCAATCACCCCCTCCCCCCATCAAACTAAACCACATTTCTCTTTCAAGATGAGTTTGTTCATTCATTCAGTCTTTATTGGGTGCCTTTTAAGTGCCAGGCACCATCCTGGGTGTTGGGGATACAGTGATGAACAAATAGGGATGCTCACTTCAGTGTCCCTTGAGGACATAGACAAGTGAATGGGTGGAGTCAGTATAACCTTCCCTGGTGAGGACCCAGAGGGAGAGATCCTGGACTGGGAGAAAAAATGGTGGGTGTTGGGGTGGGTTACCCTGCCCAGCTTCAGGAATTTATGGAAGGCGTTCCCAAGCAGATGAGAGCCAACTAGGGGATGAATAGGAGGTAGGGAGTGGAAGAGATTCCTTGCAGTGGAGAAAGATTAGGCTGGAAAAGTGATTTTGCAGGATCTTTTAAGGCATGGAAGGAGTTTGTACTGTTATCTTAAAGAACTGGAAGGAGGGACCTGGTGTGAATTCTATTTCTTCTTTGAAGTTTCTCCAGTATTTAAATTCCAAGTGATATTTTTCCTTCTTTGATTTCCAAGGCAATTACTGGCTCTACTTAGCAGCTTTACTCTGAATTCATGCATGGTATTTTTATCAACCTGTGGTCATTCTCTGATGTTTGTTCTCAACTTTTTTGTGCCCACAGCACACATTCAAGTATTATATTTTTGACTTGAATGTCCAAAACACATAACATGTCTATTTAAAAGCTCCCAGTGTAATTGTTCCTCCCATGAAACAATGTCATTTAATATCACCCTTCTTACCTCTTATATGCATCAAATTGTGACCACTCAGATATAAAATTCACATCAAAATTGAATGTATACTCAATGGTAACAAAAACTAATTTTATACATTGATTCAAATTCTGTGGCATACCAATGAAGGAGACAAGTTTCCCTGATGCTTGGTGTTAAAGGTGTGTTGTGTTTTGTATAAAAAACTATCCTTGCCCCCGAGGAGTTTGCATTAAGTCAAGGTTGCTAGAATATATATAAGTATATATTCTCTATATAAGATATATAGACTATATATATGTATTAATTCCTCACAATCTTATCATGGTTCTAGATGTAGCATAGGCTCTACTTGAATTCTACATATATTTCCATGACTTGGTATTCACTTTTTTAATCATGAAATATGTCAGATATCCAAAAATGTATAAAAAATAATATAAGGAACACCCACTTTCCACCACCCAGCTTAAGAAATAAACATTATAATGACAATTGGACCTCAGCTTTACCCCTGCCCACTGAAAGATAACCATTGCCTTGAATTTGGTGTTTGTCATTCTCACATATGCTCTAACTCCAGTTCTGGGTACTCATAAACAATGTGTGGTATTGCTTCTCAGATTTTAGAATGTTGTATGAATGATGTCATAATGTATCCTTCTGCAACTCTTTTTGGCTCAGTACTGTCTTTGAGATTTGTCCATGTTTATAGGTACAGCTCTAGTTTATCAATTTAACTGCTGTATCGTATTCCATTCTATGAACATTTAGGGCATTTTGGTTGGTTTCAGGTCTTCACTAAAACACAGTGCTGCAGTGAACGTGTTTGTATTTGGTTCCTTGTGTACCTGTGTGAGAGCTCCTGTAGGCATGTAGATCTAGTGTGGAGTTGCTGGATTGTAGGACATGTGCATCATCGACCTAACTAGACATGGCTAAGGATGCTGTTCAGAGGCAGGACAATTCACACTCCCATCAGCAGAGTGTGAGTTTCTCTGGCCTTGTTCTATATTTTTTTAGTTAAAGTATAGTTGAGTTACAATGTTGTGTTAGTTTCAGTTGTATAGCAAAATAATTCAGTTATACATACATGTATATATGTACATATGTATGTATCTATGTATGTATATATACTCTTTCATATTCTTTTCCTTTATAGGTTACTATAAAATATTGAGTATAGTTCCCTGTGCCATACAGTAGGTCCTTGTTTGTTAACTATTTTATATACAGTAGTGTGTACCTGTTAATCCCAAACTTCTAATTTATCCCTCTCTCTCCCTTTCCCCTTTGGTAGCCATAAGTTTGTTTTCTATGTCTGTGGGTCTGTTTCTGTTTTGTATGTAAGTTCATGTGTATCATTTTTTTAAGATTCTACATATAAGTGAGTAGTATTCCACTGTATTTATATATCACATCTCCTTTATCCATTTATCTGTTGATGGACATTTAAGTTGATTCCACATCCTGGTTATTGTAAACAGTGCTGCTATGAACATTGGGGTGCATGCGTCATTTTGAATTATGGTTTTCTCCAGATATATGCCAAGAGTGGGATTACTGGATCATATGGTAGCTTATTTTTAGTTTTTGAAGGAACCTCTATACTGTTCTCCAGAGTTGGCCTCACATTCTTGATAATCCATGTTACTTTCAGATTTAGGGATCTGATGTACTCTTAGGGTAAAACAAAACTTTATTAAATGAGTAGAGTTTGCTTTAGAACTTCCCAGAGAGCAATAAATGGCTACCGTAAAATTTCTGACAACCTAGAATTAGTTGATTGGATTATTTAAAAAATATTCAAACACAAGAGTAATGTTAAGGAGAATTATAGAAAAAGCCTTTAGTATTACCCCCTTAACATAGTCACTTTTAAAATATACAACATATTCATTGACTTGGTAATTACTTGTTGTCTTAACCAAACTGAATAATTTTTAAAACCAACTCACTATTGGCTTATTTTACATTTTATGTATTTTTTCCAAATATGTTTACTCCTGTATTGCTGTTCTAATGGGTCTGAGTTGACTACAGTTAAGTAAAATGAATAGAACAAGTGCCCACATCAGACTTGCCTTTATTTTAGAACTTGTCTCTTGCTAACATTGTAATTCCCAAGAACAGTTCTGGTCAGATAGAGTATTCATGCTTTTCCATAATGTTTTGTTTTGTTTGAAGCAAAAATCAAGTACACACAGAGCAAAGCATGCTAAAGCATAAAACAGATGATCACAGCACAAAATAGCAGTTTATAAAATTAGCCTCATCTCACTTTTTCTTTCTTACAAATTCCATTGTTTTGTAAATGTCCTGGAAAGAGCAAGCATTGCCTATAATGATGGGTTTCTATTTCTCCAAATAGATAGAAGACATTCTTAGGAAATTCTAATTCTAAATTCTTTTTACTCAAGTCCAATTTGAGATATAGATGTGATAAAAAAATTATGGCAAAAATATCCTTTAGGCAGGTACATCATCACAATTGATGCCTCATGCAGAGTTGTCAAAGAAAGGATTCAGTTAATTCTTCAAGGTCAGTTGTCCCAATTCTCAGGAGAAATGAAATCATTCCTAGTTTCTTGGTTTGCTCATTGATGTCTTCACTCAGAAGTTTTTCCCTCAGATTTGAAACAGATCAAATTTATCATGTTATTAGACAACTGTTTTCATGAAAAATTCCTGCCACTTAACATTCCACCTCTAATAGATGATTTATGCTTCCTGGTTAGAACCACATAGAATTACTCATGCCAATGGACCTATGTTCTTTTCTCCTATGATTATCTTGTGTCCTCACCATCTGCAAAACAAAAATATGTGTTGCTCTTAATGTCACTGGATTTGTTTAAAATGTTCTCTTTAGAGACTACTCCTTTTTATGCCACATAAGAAAAAAACATGCATAGTTTTGTCATTTTCAATAGTTATAATAACAGAGTGATGTGATAACAGATATAAATGAACAACATGTAAGTAGAACTGTAGATATACTTCTTCCTGGGAAAATACTGGTACACTGATGATCTGAAATTTGATGCTTAGCATATTTAGTGGCTGGTATCACTGATTCAGAGCTAGAAGGAATGTGCAGAGCTAGGAAGACGATGCCCAGAATCCTTCTGATTTTTCTTTTTTATTAGCATTAATTTCTAGAACAACATTCCTTCCCCTCCTATCCCTCTTCCCCACTCCTCCCCAATCACCCCCGTGTGAGCTTTGGCTTCCAACATCTGCACATATTATTCTTTGGAGGGCTGATGTCCAGCTACTAGAGTGGCTTTAACCACATAGAGTGTATCTGGGAGTTCAAGGCAGCACTTGACCAATCAATGATCTATGAAGGAGTAAGAAAGCCTTTGGTCAGGACGACTCTGCAGCACAACTCACACGCCTGAGTGACTGGAAGGAGCGAGCTAAAGCTGCCCTCTGTGGCACTTTCCTGAGATGGCACCCTTGTTTGCTTCTACCCCTTCCCTGTCTTGCTGCCTCCCTTTCCTTCTGATTCTCCCCTGAGTGAGTGCCATCTCCATAAGTCACATTCATGTGAATCCACATCTCAGGGTTGGCTCTGGGGAACCCGGCTCAAAACAGGATCTGAAAGACAATCTCGCTTACTTGTCTTCACACACTTTTGCTTACATACCCACCTCAAAGGAAAATAAACATGTACTCTTGCCTTGCATATTTTAAAGTGCACATCTATTTGTTTTTAAATTATGAGTTTAAGTAGTTGGAAAGGATGTAATTTGTAACATATTGTAAAAACTGACATTTAAAAATAAAACTTCCACATTTCTCCTCTTTTAATTTACCCAATGGAATCTAAACATCAGAGTGATCTGATACCACCATTATTCATTTAAATATACCATATGATTTCACTTATATGTGGAATCTAAAAAAACCGAAGAAATGAACAAACATAATAAAACAGAAACAGACTCATAGATACAGAGAATAAACTAGTGGTTCTTGGGGCAGGGTGGGAGAAATAGGTGAAGGAGATTAAATGGTACAAACCTCCAGTTATAAAATAAATAAGAGAGGTGTGGCCAAGATGGTGGAGTAGGAAGACCCTGAGCTCACCTACCTCCTGGGTACACCAATATTACAACTATTTATAGAGCGACTATCTGTGAAAACAACCTGAAGACTAGCAGAAAAGATTTTTCACAACTATGAGACCAGAATAACCTGAATACCAAAACCAGACAGACAAAGATGACACAGAAAAGATATTACAGACCAACATCACTGATAACACAGATGCAAAAAACCTCAACAAAACACTAGCGAACCAAATTCAAAAATGCATAAAAAGGATCATACACCATGATAAAGTGGAATTGACCCCTGGGATGCAAAGATGGTTCAGCATCCGTGAATCAATTAATGTGATACAACAGATTAACAACTGAAGAATAAAAATCATATGATCATTTCAAGCAATGCAGAAAAGGTTTCTGACAAAATTTGACATCCATTTATGATAAAAACTCTCCAGAAAGAGAACATATATCAACATAATAAAAGAAATATATGATAAACCTACAGCCAACATCATATTCAACAGTCAAAAACTGAGAACTTTTCCTCTAAGATCAGGAAAAACACAAGGATGCACACTCTTGCCACTTCTATTCAACATAGTAATGGAAATCCTAGTCATAGCAATCAGATAAGAAAAATAAATAAAAGGCATCCAAATTGGAAAGGAAAAAGTAAAACTGTAACCACTTGCAAATGATATGATATGACATATAGAAACCCTTAAAAAACCACACACACACACAAAAACAACTATTTGAACCAATAAATGAATTCAGTAAAGTTGCAGGATACAAAATTAATATTCAGAAATTTGTTGCATTTCTATACACTAGTAAACTATCAGAAAGAGAAATTTTAAAAAATATCCCATTTACAATTGCATCAAAAAAAAGTGCCTAGGAATGAACTTAAGCAGTGAGGTAAAAGTCTTGTACTCAGTAAACTATAAGACATTGATGAAAGAAATTGAAGATGATGCAAATAGGTGGAAAGATATACCATGCTTATAGATTAAAGGAATTAATATTATTAAAATGACTAAATTCCATAAAGCAATCTACAGATCCAATGCAATCTCTATCAAAATACCAATGGCAGTTTTCACAGAATGAAAACAAATAATTCTAAAATTTGTATGGAAACCCAAAAGGCCCTGAATAGGCAAAACAATCTTGAGAAAGAAGAACAAAGCTGGAGGTACCATGCTCTCTGATTTCAAACTATCTTACAAAGCTACAGTAATAAAAATAGTATGGTACTTGCAGAAAACAGACATATAGATCAATGGAACAGAATAGAGAACCCAGTAACAAATCTACACCTGTATGGTCAATTGATCTACAATGAAGGAGACACCTCAAAGCCCTCTCTTTGGGAAAACAAAAGCAAAGCAGTGTAAAGGCTGATCATTCTTCACAATAGATTTTTATTTTTAATTGTCAAACATATTACCAGACAGATAATTCATAGAGGGATAAGCCTTTTTGGTTATGTGCCCAACACAGTATATTCTGAGCTTCATAGGTAGCATTTCCAACCTTTCAACAATGCAGAGATAGGTTTTATTATCTCCTTTTCAAGTTTTAAGGTGAAGTTGTGTTCTATAAACATAATTATAGAGTATGAAACATTGTGACAAACAGTATTGGATTAGGTGCTGTGAATGTTCTTTGGGAAGACACTTCAGATGTCTGCAGCTTCCATTTCCTTATCTGTGAAAAGATACAGTACAACTCAGAGATTTCTAAAGCCATTCCAATTTTCAAATTCTAACCTCCCATAATTCTAAGAAGAAAGCCAAACTGAGATTTTCTGAAAAGACTCAGACTGACTTCAAGGAGCAGGGCTGTCCAAGTCACCAAATCAAGCTGTCAGCTAGAACTCTCTGAGGGAAATGATTAAAGATATCATCCACTTCTATATGTATGATATATAATTAAATAGAAAAACAGGGAAACCTTTTGAAGGAGAAAATTATGAGAAATGATAATAAACAAGAAAGGTATTGGTAATGCTCACTTGATAATAATTATAGTATATACCATATATAACAATATAGTATATACCATATATATTATTTTATATATCTATAAAATGTATGTATATTATATATAATGTATGTATACATATACATATTTACAATGTATATTGTATGCTATATATTATATATACTATATATATTAGATATGGGTATAATTGTAGATATAGATAGCATATAGAATATAATAAAATCAGCAAAATTATGGAAAACAAGAGATGAGGAAAGAGGAAATATGAAAAATATAGACAAAGAGGATAGAGAAGATAAGATGTAAGAAAAGGAAAAATAAATATAAATATGATGAAACATATGGTCTGGTCAAGAAGAACTAAGCTTACTTTGGCCTCAGGATGGAGTGAGCCCATGCTGTCTCTCTCTTCCACTGATTGCAACTGAAAGCTTGACAAAACACAAAAAGCAACTACTTAAGAACTCTGAAAAGTAAATAGAAGCAGATATTGTAAAGGAGCATGGGTTTCCCATTTTCTTTTCTGGCCTTGTGCAGAGCCCCAGTCCTGGAGCTCCATGGTGGCCATGGAGCAGGTGGCTTAAACTTGATAAAATCCCCATATTTCTGGCCAGAAGAACTAGGAAAAGGGCTCCCTGTGTGTCAAAGATCATAGAAGAAATCTCCATTTTTTTCTTCTTTTCTCTCATGGTTTTTCTCTAAAGGTGGGCTCCAGTTTGGAGCTGAGTAGAATGCTAGATAGCTAAAATTAAAGAGAAATTACTCTGTCTCCTATCTTTGGGGGCAGAGTAACCAAGAAAAGAGGACCTGTTGGTCAGCATGTGGGGGTAGCCTCAGAGAAGAGAGCTGGAGAAAGGGGTTCTCTAATTTTAATGATGGGAACTACATAAGTCCCAGGTTCTCCCCTAAGCTATACATGGATGTGAAAGACTCAAAAACAGGATAGCAAAGGCTTTGGACACTAAACTGAGATTGGAACCACTGCCCACAGAAAGTGAGACGCTGACACTTCTGAACCTAGCACATTGATTGTCCGCTGAAAAAATTAAAGTTCTACAGAGAATTATAATAGATTTAGAGTCTACAAAATGTAATACTTGAAGAAGATGTGGAGTATATATACAATGGAATATTACTCAGCCATAAAAAGAATGAAATAATGTCATTTGCAGCAAATGGTTGGACATGGAGATTATTATACTAAGTGAAGTAAGCCAGACCGAGAAAGACAAATATCATATGATATCACTTATATGTGGAATCTTAAAAAAAATTCAAGTGAACTTACTTACAAAACAGAAACAGACCCACAGACATAGAAAACAAACTTACAGTTACCAAAGGCGAAAGGGACAGGGAGTGATAAATTAGGAGTTTGGGATTAACATATACACACTACTATATATAAAATAGATAACCAACAAGGGTCTACTATATAGCACAGGGAACTATACTCAATATTTTGTAATAACTTATAAGGGAAAAAATCTGAAAAAGAATATATTTATATACATATATGCATATATGTATATTTATGTATGTATATATAACTGAATCATTGTGATGTACACCTGAAATTAACACATTGTAAATCAACTATACTTCAATAAAAACTATATGTCTGTTTTAAAAACCAAGATGCTTCAACGTAAAAAAAATTTTTTTTCAAGATACAATCCAAAATTATGTAACATAACAGAGAACAAGTAGATGTGAATGGTATTCAAAGGATAAGACAATGGACGCCAACTTTCTAATTGACTCAGATCTTGCAATTATCAGACAAAGACATTAAAGAAGCTATTATAACTGTGTTCCATGAGATAAAGGGAAACAACTTGAACAGAAGGATATTCTCAGCAGTGACATAGAGATTACAAAAAAGAACCAAAAAGAAGTTTTAGAAGTAAAAATTACAGTATCTGAAATTTTTTAAATTCCCTGGATGAACTCAGTAGCAGAGTGAGGATGACAGAGGAAAGAGTCAGTGAATTTCAGGGTAGATTAATTACATGATCTGAAGAGACAAAGGAAATTGAAAACAATGAACAGAGCCTTGGAGACTTAATGAACAATATCAAAAGGGTCCAGCATTTGTTTCACTGGGATTCTAGAAGGAAAGTAGAAAGAGATTCATTCAGAAAAAAAAATTGAGGAAATAATGGCCAAAACTTCCCAAATTGGTAAAAGACATAATATTACAGATTTTAAAAGCTCAAAGAAAAACCCACTCAGACATATCATAATCAAACTGCTGAAAACAAAAGATAAAGAAACAATCTGGAAGCAGCTAGAGAAAAAGTACATGTTACAAAAGAAAGGAACAATTATTGAAATGTCTGTAGATTTCTTATCAGAAGCCATGGAAGCCAAATAACAGTAGAACACCATTTTTCTTTAAAGTGCTGAGTGAAAAGAACTGTGAACACAGAATTTTATACCCAATGAAAATAGCTGTCCAGAGTCAAGACAAAATAAATACATTTCCAGATAAAGGAAAACTAAGAGAATTTGTTGCCAACGTATCTATTATAAAGGACAACTCTGATAGGAGGAAATTGGAGTGAGGTCAAGTGACTGGTGACTGGATGGGGGAGAGGATGCACTGGGAAGGTGACACTGAGGAAGGGACACAAGTGAGAAATCAAGTAGGGGGGTAGAAGGGAATAAGGGAAAGTTGAGTTGAGTAGGGGAAAGTGGCAGGTACTGATGTAGTTCATCCAGGCACAGAGCTCCACGTTTATACGGCAATCTCATAAACATGACCTCATTGGTTCCACTCCAAAAGCAGGAGACAGGAATTAATAGCCTTCCTATGCAGATGGAGAAACTGAAGCTTAGAGAGTTTTAGTGCTGTACTTGGACATGTCCCTGGTCTAGCAACTCCTGATTCAGTGTGCTTTCCCAACCCTGGGAGGAAGGACTCGGGGTAAATCAGAGGCAGAGTGGGTGGGTGTAAGAGAGAATGTCTTAGCTCAGATTGCCATAACATATACCATAGACTGGTTTGAACAGCAGTAATTTATTTTCTCACAGTTCCGGAGGCTGGGAAGTCTGAGATGAGGGAACCAGCCAATTTGGTTCATGGTGAGAGCTCTCTTCCTGGCTTGCAGACAGCCACCTCCTTTTTGTGTTCTCACATGCTGGAGAGTCCTGGTATCTCTTCCTCTTATAATTACACCACTTCCATCAGACCAGGCCTCCACCCCTATGACTTCACTTAGCCTTTATCACCTCCTTAAAGGCCCTACCTCCAACACAGCCATATGGCGGGGCGTGGGGGGATGTTAGGGCTTCAACATATGAATTTGGGGCACACAGTCTAGTCCATAGCAGGGGATATAATTAACAGTGTAAGCACAGGAAGGAGCCTTATAAATCTGCATTTCTCAAACGTGTCTATACATTATAATCAGCTGGATATTTGCTGACAATTCCATAGTCCACCCAACACTCCACATCAATTAAATCACATTATCTGGGGTTGAGACACAGGCATCCATATTTTTTTAGAAGCTGCACAGGTGATTCTAATGTGCATACAAGTTTGGAAAACACTACTATAAATCCTGATTGAATCAGTTCTGTTAGATATTTCAAGGTAGTTTTTGGCTGAAAATGATAAGCTTAGTAGAATCAAAAGGATTATTATATTATTAATATAATATTATTATATTATATTACTATAGGATATACCATATATAACATAAGATACACTATATATATGTATATATATATGGAGTATACATACATATATAATATTTTACATACATACTGCATACATATATAGTGTTTTATTGCATAATTATACCAACATTTATCATATGTGCAGTGGGCATTTTTGTTCCCACTTTAAGGCCACTACAAATAGTTCTGTTATGAACATTCTAGTACCTGACCCTTAGCGAATACATATTTTTCTGTTATATACATTGGGATATATACATTGGGGTAACATTGTTGGGTCATAGGATATGCACATTTTCAGTGTTAGTAGACACCCAGGAATATTTATTTTAAAATAACTTCTCCCATGATTTTGATACATAGCAGAGACTGTGAACAGCTGCCCTCGAACTGACTATGCCTGCCTCTTCTCCATCTCCTATTTTCTCTTTATCTATACGTCCACGGCCACTTCCCCACACAGCCTAATAAGCACACACAGAGATCTCAGAACCATAGAAGCCTTGTCCTCTCCAGGTTCCACTGTGCTGGGGCTCGGCCAGGAGCCTAGATCTCAGACAAGGAAAGCCCTGGTCATCAAGGGAGAAAGCAGACCCTGAGTCTTCAAATTCTGGAGGCCTGCCGCTCAGTTCATTTCCTATCCCATCTCCACAAGAATGCAGGGTTCCTCCTGCTCCCCCAGAACCTGTGGTCCTTACTCTTCTCCCTCTTACGTTTCTATTCCTTGGCCCACCCCAGGCATTTATATCTAGTTCTGGTTTTGTCAAGGCCAGTGGCTTCTTTTTTTGCCCTCCTAGAGTTTTATCTCCCTTGCCCCCTTGTTTTGGGGCCCCTTGTAGCCCTAGTTAATAAGCCCCTCTATTCTACAATCTCTATTCGTCTCCATGAGTTCTCATTGCTCATCTTCTACCAGGGAAAATCCAAACAAACAAGGGTATTTCAGAGCTGTCAACTCTAAAGCACTCAGGTTACATTTTTCATCTTGTCTGACATTTGCTGGAGCTGTAATTTCTTCTGAATGTGCCTCTTCCCTGTCTTTCATCATCAGAAAAGTTGAAAAGAGCATGTATAACCTCTGGATCAAATCAGTGGTGGTCCCAGAACTGTTACTCTGACTGTTCCCTAATTCAAAGAAATGCTGCTGCTGGGAATCTAATTCACCCAAAGGCTCACTGGGCGAGCCCTCTATTTGGGCTCATCCAAATAGAGATGGAGATGTTCTCCATCTCTATTTCATATACCTCAGGAAGAAGGCTGAAGTGACAGAGAAAAACGATGAAAAATATGTTAACCAAGTCCCTTTCAGTATTCAGTGTAGATACAGACAGATAATATAACAGAAATCAATTTTATGCATGTTATTGGAATAGTCCAAATGCAGTTTGTGGATGAAATTTGACTAAGGGGCAACTTTTTAATTCCAAAGGGAAATTAGACATTTGTGCCCATGGTTTAGGACTCCAAACCAGTATTATTTTCATCACTGAATATTTACTGAGAACTTAGGGTTGGACTTTGCGAAATCAAACTTAAACGAATTCTTCCTGCCAGTCTCCATATGGGTTCTGTTTTTGAAACAGCAAACATTTTTGTTGCTGCTTTGTGAGTTTTTCTTTTTCATCTTTTTCTTCTGCTCTAAAGCTATTACATCTAACCTTTGATATTATATGTTTTCTGTTTTAACAGTACCCAATATTTGAATGATAGTATATAGTTACTAATAAGGCATTAATAGGGGTCTCTTTTTTCATAAAAGCTACAAAATTGGAAACTTGGTTCTTTCGAATATGGATCATATTCTATGTACTATTGACACCAGATCTGTGATGTTGTCACAAATCAGGAACATTTAAAACACCCTCCCCACACACACACCCATACACCCCACAACCAAACTTGCATCCTGAAAACTAAAATGCCATTTCTTTCAAATTATTTTCTTAAGGACTGTTTCCAGTGGTAGTATTACCCAAATTGTGAATTTGTCAACTCACAATACAATGTTTTCTGTGCCACCATTCTCTGGGTTGGGAGAGGTGATGTTAACACATTTGGGTCTCATATCTGCAGGGGGATATTTGTTGATGGCACCTGGAGAGAGAGTGGGTGGTTAGTCTAAATATTACCCTTTCACATTCTATCACCCAAAGTCAGTTCATCTTTTCCTGTGGTTGGAGGTGTTTCCAAGAGCAAGTTAATTTTATAAGGGACTCAGCAAAATATGAACCTTCTGACTTCGCAATACCTTGTTGGCAAAGTCAGTGAGATATAGCAGTGATTGAGTCAAAAATTTTCATGCTCTGTGTGTCACAGGCTTGCAATATAATTCAAAGATATCTCTTAATCCCTTATGACATCTGGCTCTCTCACTCTAAAAGGAAGATATTTCTAGAAGACAGTATTAACTATTGAAATTGGCTGCCCTATTTATCTTGAGTTTGGAAGAAGGCTTCATTTTTTTGCAAGTGAAAAGCTTGCCACTAAATGTAAATCCTGAGTGCCAAGATGCTGACGGTTCCATGAGCCCTGGGCTTTATGAGTGCCAGAAAATCTGCATCTCTCTGATTCCCCATTAAACTTGCAGGAGCTACAGACAACCATTCAGGGTGGCCTCTGTCACACTCCTAATTCCCGGCACAGGCCCGCACTTGCTTGATGCTACAAGCTCTTAGGTTTGCTACTATAATCATGTCTGGAATTACAGCACATGGACAGAGACTGGGAAGCCTCTCTCAAAAGCCTACTGTGAAAAGACTCCCTTAAACCCCTTGCCTGGCTGTCCCTGAGCCAGCTGTCTGAGACAGAGGCTCTAGAAGAGATTTGTCCCCATGGCTCTTAAGAATTCAAGTCAGAAGCAAAGTTGATTTACAGTGACAAGATGAAACAGAAGTCCTTGGAGTGGGTGGAGGGTGGTGGCAGTGGGGTATTATTTATTACAGTGATACCACTGTAATACTTTATTAAAGCTTTAGTAATTGATGTATCATTTAATGGATAAGAGCACAGCTCTGGGGTCAGAATGCATAAGATTGAGTCTAGAATTTGCCAACTATTAACTGTCAGATTTTGAGCAGTTGATTTAATGTCTGTGAACCTCAGTTTTCTCACTTGTAAAATGGGGATACTACTACTTTCCTTAGAGGGCTGTCCTGAGGATTAAATGATACAATCCTTTAAAAAACTTGGCACATAGTAAACACAGATTAGAGTTAAAAGACACTTTTCACTTTCTGGCAAAGACCCTGACAGTGGGACAGCAGAGCTCAAGGTCACTAGGACCTGGGATTTTCTCTGTGGTTTTCTCATTGCCTCCTACTGACACCTAGACTCCACCACTCTTGACTGAAGTGAGAATCATGTTACTAAGTCAACTGGTGGATTGTGCAAAGAGGTATCTATTGGAAAAGCAACAGAAGAGAAAAACTTTAATGACTTACGTCTGATTGAATGAACAAATGGCTTGACAAATTTGACGATATAGTTCAAATCTGGCTTGTGGGTTCGGCCAAGCTGGACTAAGTGATGATCCAGTGGGTGGCTGGCTAAATCTTCTAATTCCTTGTCATTGTGTAGAGGACCGAAGGAAAACACAAATATGGAATAGCCCTGACACTTGGCTCTCAGAGATACATTTCTTAAGACTCCCCTGTCTAAAGGGTTGGTTTCACCAGCAGATATAACAAAGATAACTCTGTTTTTCCTCAGGTTGGGGGTTCCTACAAAGACATTGTCAATTGTCCACTGTAGGGCATGGCCAATAAAAACATCTCCATTGAGCTGTTGAAGGGAGTCTTGGAGATGACGTTTCATTTGGTGTATATTGTTATAAGTAACCAAATCAAATTCTAGGTAGATGGGGCTTTCTTCTGTGTTGGGCATATAGCCTGGAGGAGAGTAGGTCAGGACTGCCACTCTGTCTCCCAAGGTGGAGATCAGTGGATCTGGGGCCAAGTGAAAGTAATCAAGCACTGAGGTTATAAAAGCCTTCACTTCCTTAAACTCATCATTTCCTATTCTTTGGGAAGCATCTATGAGAAAAGCCACATCCATGTAATATTCTTGAAGAGAGGCATCTCTGAGTTCATAAGTAAGACCTGGTTCTTCTTTTCTGCCATGGCTTTCCTGTCCTGCAATAGAATAACTCAAGTCACTACTTTTAGTAGAAGGGAAATCTTGAAACTCCTAGCCAAGAATGGCAATACACAGCATGAGGTGTTGTCATACTTCATTCTCACACCCATGGCATACGTTACTAATCAATATCAGTACTTGTTCCCAGATGCATTCTCTAAGTACATCTCTACACAGTATGCGGAGAGCCATTACCACTTGACAGGTATTCTCACATGTGAAGAAACCTATTTGCTACCCCATCTCTGATCTTTGTCAAAGGATTGATGGATCCTCCAGCTATTTTCGTATGCAAGGTGAAAAACATACAGTGATTTTTAGTGCACGCCACATGGTTACAAAATTTGGAGTACATACTGCATGAGATTTCATTATATGTAATGACCCCAAGAGAGAAGTAAATATGTCAAAGTCACATTTATTGATGACATCTTTATATACATGCTTAAAATACGCACCATAGTATGATGTCATGAGAAGTAGTATAAATGCTGACTTTAGAATCCAAATTCTGTGTAAGACATGACATACTTTAAGACCTTGGTACTCAAAGTACCAGTCCTCAAACAGCTTATTGGCCCATGACAAGATAAGAAACTTGCACCATGATATAAGTCAACTACATCACTAAGCACACAAATTATTTCATCTGATTTTATTTTATTTATTTATTTTTTGTATCAAGACCTTCTCAAGGAAGGAAACAGTGCCCCAGTTACACTCTGATGCTACCTTCTTATCTTGCTGGAGGCCAGCACTTCAAGTGGCTCTGCTCCAAAGGGTCATGAAGCCATGTCTACAATCATAGGGATGATGGCTGGTTGGTGAGGTCACAACAGGAAATGCCAGCTCAGAAAGACAGGAGGACATGGTCAATGTTCATTTTTTTCTATGAAAGAAGTATGTTTGTGAACCTAATCAAGCAAGAAGTAGATTCCTAACTGGCAAAAACTTATTACTGTCCAATTGTGCTTGGCCCATTATTCATGCTTTGCATCTATTACTTTATTTAATCCTCACAGCAACCACACTCACAAATGAATTGATTAACCAGTATAAATGCCGCAAAAGTTTAATATTGAAATAGAAAGCAGAAAAACAACACCACGGATAATGTTATTAACAAGGCAAATACTATCAGATGACTTCTGAATGCTCAATGATCTCTGCATTCCTGGGGTCAACTCCACATTATCTTTTTTTACCTATTGTAGGATTTTCTTCTGACAAATAAAATTTTTATATATTTAAAGTGTACAACGTTCTTCAAAAAGTATACAAATAAGAAATGCTAGAGAGGGTGTGGAGAAAAAGGAACCCTCCCACATTGTCAGTGGGAATGTAAATGGGTGCAGCCATTATGGAGAACAGTATGGAAGTTCTTTAAAAAACTAAACATAGAAATACCATATGATCCAGTGATCCTACTCCTGGGCATATATCTGGAGAAAACTATAATTTAAAAGGATACATGCACCCCAATGTTCATAGCGGCACTATTTACAGTAACCAAGACATGGAAGCAAACTAAGTGTCCACTGACGGATGGATAAAGAAGATATGTTATATATACACAATAGAACAGTAATCAGCCATGAAAAAAGAATAAAATAATGCCACTTGCAGCAACATGGATGGATCTAGAGATGATCATACTTAGTGAAGTAAGTCAGACAAAGACAAACATCATATGATATTGCTTATATGTGGAATCTAAAAAAATGATACAAATGAACTTATTTACAAAAACAGAAATAGACTCACAGACACAGAAAAGAAACTTATAGTTACCAAAGGGGAAAAAGAGGGGAGAGAAATAAATTAGGAGTTTGGGATTAACATATACACACTACTATATGTAAAATAGATAAACAACAAGGCCTACTGTAGAGCACAGGGAACTATACTCAATATCTTGTAATAACCTATACTAGAAAAGGATTTTTAAAAGAATATATAGATATACATATATATGTATGTATAACTGAATTACTTTGATGTACACCTGAAGCTAACACAACATTGTGAATCAACTATATTCCAATAAAAAATTTTTAAAATTGAATAAAATAATTAATAACAAAGTGTACAATGTTTTGATATAAGTATACCTTGTATAATGATTGCCACATCAAGCTAATATTGTTGGATTTGATTTGCTAACATTTTGTTTAGAATTTCTGCATTTATGTTCTCAAGGAATGTTGGTCTGTAGGTTCCTTTTCTTGTAATGTATTTGTCTGGTTTTGGCCTCAAAGAATGAGTTTGGAAGCATTCCTTCCTATTTAATATTCTGGAAGAGTTTATGCAGAATTCGTATTATTTCTTCCTTAAATGTTTTTTTGAAGCCACCAGTGAAGTCATCTGGGCTTGGAGTTTTCTTTATGGAAAGTTTTGAACTACAAATTCAATTTCTTTAATAGGTTTAGGAATATTTAGGTTACTTCTCCTTGAGTGAGGCTTGGTAATTCATGCATTGCAACTAATTTGCCTATTCCACCTAAAATGTCTAACTTATAGGCAAAAACTGTTTATAATATTCCCTGATTGTCCTTTTAATATCTGTAGAATATTTCTCCTCTCTCATTCCTGATATCGGTAATTTGTGTTTTCTCTTTTTTACTGGTGAGTTTGACTATGGGTTTATCAATTTAATTGATCTTATCAAAAAAACACTTCTGGTTTTATTGATTTTCTCTTTTCTATTTCATTGAGTTCTGCTTTAATTTTATTACTTCCTTTCTTCTCCTTACCTTAGGTTTAACTTGTTCTTCTTTTTCTAATTTCTTAAGATGAAAGTTGAGGTCATTGATTTGAAACCTTTCTTCTTTATCAGTATAGGCATTTAATGCTATGAATGACATCCTAAGTACTGCTTTAGAGGAATCTTACAAATTCTAGTATATTGTGATTTTATTTTCATTCATTTCAAAATACTTGCTAATTTCCCCTTTGGTTTTTTTCTTTGACCATGGATTATTTAGAAGTGCTTTATTTAGTTTCCAAATACTTGGGGATTTTTCAAAGATCTTCTTACTATTGATTTCAACTTAATTCTGTTTTGGTCAGAGGATATATTTGGAATGATTTGAAACCTTTCAAATTTTGAGAATTGTTTTATGGTCTACAGTATGATCTATCTTGGTAAATGTTTCACATGTACTTGAAAAGAATGTGTATTTGCTATTTTGTGTACAGTGTTCTATTAATATCAATTAGGTCAAATTAACTGATGCTGTTGTTCAGGCCTACGATATTCCTGCTGATTTTCTGTCTATTCTTTTGTCAGTTATTGAGAGAGGTATTGAAACCCACTGAGGGTCTTTTTTTTTTTTTAAGTCTTTATTCTCCTTGAGTTTTATTTTGGATAATTTCTATGGCTATATCTTCAAGGTCACTAGTCTTTTCTTTTACCAAATCTAATTTCCCATTAATCCCATCCAGTGTACTGTTCATCCTAGGCACTGCAGCTTTCATCTCTACAAATTCTACTTAATTTTTTTTTTTTACGTTTTCCATGTCTCAACTTTTTAACATATGGAGTATAGTTACAATAACTGTTTTAATTTCTTTGTTAATTCTAACATCTTTGTCAGTTCTGATTTGGTTTTCAGTGATTGTACTTTTTTGATGATGGGTTCTTTCTGCTTTTTATGCCAGACATTATGAAATTTGCCTTGTTGGATATGGGATAGTTTTATATTCTTATAAATATCCATATGATTTGTTTTGGGAGGCAGTCAAGTTACATGAAAATGGTTTGATCTTTTTGGGACTTGCTGTTATGATTTGTTAGGTATGTCCAGAGTGTTACTTAATTTAAGGCTATTTATTCCGCACTACTGAAGCAAGATCTTCCTGAATTTTCTTCCCAGTACTCTATGAATTATGAGTTTTTCCAGTCTCTCTGGTGGTAACAGGCACTATCCCTGGCCCTGTGAGCAATGGGTATTATCCTCTAATCCTTTCAGAAGAATGTTCCCCCATGCTCGGGTCATTTCCTCAATGCTCATGCTATCAGCACTCTGATGAATGATGAAGAGGCATCCTCTTCAGAGCTCTGGGTGTTTCTCTCTGCACAGCTCTCTCCTCTCTGGTGTTCTGTCCTGTGAATTCTTACCACCTTGGTCTTCCTGGACTCTCAGCTCTGTTTCCTCATCTCAAGGAGTGCGCTGGGTTCCACCTGAATTCCCCTTCCTGAACCATGGCCCGGAAACTCTCTCTTGGCAGTAAGCAGGAGAAATCACAGGGTTCATCTCATTGGTTTCTCATCCCTCAGGGATCATTTTATTTCCTGAAGTCCAGTGTCCTGACAATTGTTGTTCCATTTCATATATATATATATTTTTTTTTCTTTCAGTTATTTCAATTGGTAGGTAAATCCAGTTCCTCTTACTTCACCTTGGGCATTTCTAATACATGAGAACTAGCCATCTTGTTTGAGATATTCCTATGTTCTCTCCCTTCTTACAAAGGACTAAGAACTGGTCATTAATGTACCAGACTTTTCCTTTATCAATACATTCATAGTTATTGAACAGGATGTTACATTTCATGAGCTGTTTGAAATCTAAGCACCTCCAATCCTCCACCAAGAACCTAGTTTCAAATTCTTAGAAGTTTTGATAAATATCAAGATTCTTAATTGCTAAATATAAAACTGGAAGTGCAGACAAAAGCATAAATATATTTGTCTATGCAATGGGTGCTATATAATATACTTTAGCCCTAAAATACTGCCCAAACCTCTTCTAGAGTTCTTGGCAATAGTGTAACAGGATGTGTGAAGATTAGTTAAATGGACATTTCTTTCCTTTTGAGTTTACAATCCTGGAATTTATTAATCATTACCTGCTCTGCCACCAGGATCTCCATTTTGGCTTTTTAAAAAAGGCCAATCAACACACTTTGTTAAAACATAAGGAAAAGCATTTCATAAATGTTCTGGTAGAAGAGGAAGGGGTATAAATGAAAAAAGAGAAATTACAACTGATAT